GATAGGATCATGGAGGATCTATATTCAATAGTGCATTAAGCAACTGAAGAGTCCAGAATGGAATGTGTTCTTAGGAGACTGGGTCTGGTTGGAAGAGGCCATTCACTAGAGGTCTGACCTGGAAGGGTGCATCTCCCCTCTCAGCTCCTCTCTTCACTCCATGCTTCTTGGCCACCATTATGTGAGCAGCTGTCCTCTGTCAGGCCCTTCCACTATTTTCTTCCTGCCACAGAACCAGCTGATTATGGACTGATTCCTCTAAAGTGTGTGAGCGAAAATAAACCTGCCCTTAAAGTTGTGGGTGTTGGATATTTTGTCCCAGTGATGGGAAAATGACTGAGACACTGTCATTTGATAATTAATTTCAATTTGTTAAGTTTGCTTTCTGATTACTTCATAGAGAGCCTTGCACTAGAAACAGACACTTTGATCCAAAGTGGACTGCAAAGTATTACCATGGGTGGTTCTTTAAAATTATAGTGGGCCTAAAAACTTTTTGTCACCTAAACGATGTTGTTGGCCACAGTAACAAAGAGTGCAATGCACTACTTGTGGTGATGCTGACAAAAATAAATCTGTTGCACTACTAGTATTTATTTATTTATTTATTTATTTATTTATTTATTTAAGTACCGGGGATTGAACTCAGGTTCTTGCCCTTGTGAGGCAGGTGGTGGAACCACTCAGCTAAATCCCCGGCCCTGCACTACTACTTTTTATGAGTGTGACACGCACGACCTAGGTGGCACCTGTGAGAAGTCAAGTAGAACCCAAGCAGTGCCTACGAGAAGTTGAGCTGATCCTAGGTGGTGTGGGTATCTAGACCCCGAGATGCAGAGGTGCTGAGGGGAAAGACAGTGGTGGAATGCAGAAAGGCCATCATTGTGAGCTCAGGAAGATGGAGTAGAGGTGATCAACAGAGAGAGGGTCTCTCCAAGGGTTGTTGAGAATTGAAACCCACAGGGAGAATGAAAAGAGTCACTGCAATAAAGACACAGCAGACTATAGTGCTTGGTGAGTTATTGGGGTCAGCACCTCCTACCAGAACTCAGGCTCACTGCAGAGGAAGAGTGGCTGGAACTTGCAGTGGAACCATGCAGAGTTAAAACCCACAGGAGATCAGGGTTCTCAATTCCAGTCTCACAGCCAGAAACCATCCTGAATTTCAGTGGATTGTGGCTGGCTTGCTGAGATCAATGAACTCTGATCTGTATGCTGCCCAGACTGTCTACTGGTGACAGCAGATGCATGCCTTAAGGGGACATTTTTTCTTTTCTTTTCTTCTTCATTTTGTTCTTATTCCTGTTTCTGTCCTATTTTGTTTTTTCTTGATCTTATTTTTATAGGCGTGTGAATATGGTTTCTAATTTTCTTGTTGCTATTAGTTTGTCCTGTTCTTGTTTTTGTACTTTTCTTCTCTCTTTTTCTCCTGTCTTCAGTTTCTTAAAGTATGCATGATCTTCTTGTGTCCTCTAGACTTACTTCTAACCTTTCCCTTTTCTTATATTTTTCTTACCCCTCCCTTCTAACTCTTCCTCCTGGAGGGTAAATTTGCTATACTGAAGGGTTTATTTACTGCAAACATATTTCTGGTTGGTTCTAGAATTTGATATATAGCAAGTCTGGTTCATGCGGTTAAAGGTGGCAGATTAATAGTTACCACAGTATGTCACTTTCTAGGCTGTGTTTGATGCTATTGTTGATGCTGATTTTATTACTTTGGCTAAGGTGACACAATCTAGTCTGTTGTTCTTCCTAGTATGTGATTGCCTAAGGGTCATTACAGACTCAAAACCCAAAGGCCAACTGTACCAGGAAGACAATCTGAGAAGCAGCCATTTCCTAAGGGTTCTAAATACTAGCCTTAAAGATACTCATAATAAGCAATATACAAGCATCAACCCAGGAAAATAACCAAAAGCATCAACAACAAAAAAATAGAAATGGGATGACACCTAAATCTGAGTCAAACACAGACTTCCAGGCAAATTGAGAGGGCAATGAGGTGGATCAGTCTGAAAGTCTAACACCTGAACTCTCTGAACTGGTAACAAGGGAAGTAACAAAACAGATGAAAGTGGCTCTGGAAAAAAATAAATCAGAAATAATTTCTCAAATAACAACCGAGATGGTTACCATAATGAAAGACATGATTAGACTGGCAAAATGAATCAAGAAACAAGGTCCAACAATATGCTGCATACAAGAAACACACTTAATTTAAAAAATTCATAGAGTGAAAGTTGAAGGATGGAAAACAATACTCCAAGAGTCAAGAACCCTGAAAAAAGCAGGAGTAGCTATCCTGTTTTGTAATTTTATCATCTGCTTTGAATTTGATCTTCTGGAATGAATCAAAGCACAGGATCCCTGAATTAACAAAATAATAGATCCTTATTCAATCAGTTTCTTGTACTGCAATGATTACATGCTGTAGTCATGGAAGGTGTTTGAATGTAGATTTGCAAATTGATCTTGTCTTCTCTGACATTGGAAATTTTGATAACTCCCAATCATGAACTTGATTTGTTGGTCAGATTGTAGAAGAAAATAAGCAAAAGTTTATTGCTCTATTGATTTTGGAAATATATCTCAGTAGAATATTAGAATTAGAAAAATGGCCTCCATCTAATACATGTACCACACCACTGTATAAATTTCCCAAGTCATACCCATTTTGGTTCCTGTTTTATAGCTCCATCTCATTCTGAGCTTTGTCACTGGGATTGGAACAATCATTTATCCTAATAGGCATCTGTTGAGCTGAGATCATTCTCCAGGGAAGAGAGTAGATATTCATTGTTGTCAGTCAACCCTGGTGGCAGCAGGGGTGGACTGAGAGGTTGATAGTTGTATTGTATGCATAGCACCAACAGCACACAGGACATTTATCTTCTTAAAGTGTGAATTTTATCTTAATGTTCTATTGCATAACTTGATATTATACTGGAATGTTTGAATTCCATGAGTTAGGATGGCTCTAGTTTAAATAAGATAAAAATACTTTCACTCAAATTAGCTGAAATATGATGAGTACCTTGAATAAATCAGAGCTCAGGGGTCAGAAGCTGTGCTCCCAGGTGGAAGACACTAGAACTCATTCATTATTCTATGAGTGAGCTTCACTCTGTGCTGGCTCCTTTCAAGCACCTTATATATGTTTGAGATCCCTACATTTTCCTAGAGACAGAAAGCTGACCATGTTTTCTTCAGATTTTGTTTCAACAGAGAAACGACTTTTTCAAAGAGACATCTTTTCATTTAGTCCAGAATTTAGACCTCGTCCATTTCTAAATTAACCCCTGAGGCAATGAGTGGGATTATCATGAGCAGATGAGATTTAGCAGTCTGGTGAATCACAAGCCTTACTGTATATTTGAACTACCCATGAGCCAGTTGTGGAGTGGATCTAGTCCCAATATTTAGACCTTAAAGTTCCACTTGGTGTGCCATATTTGTAGAACAGCCACTGTAGAAACCTACCCTCTTACTGAGAGTTTACCCCTCTAATCAAAGCTCATAACTCGAACTTCTAGTAATATCGTGGTGGTGGAGATCGAGAGTCATCAGTTGAGGTTTGATTTGCTTCTCTTGTGAGTAAGGAACATGTTACTGCACTGATTAGGAAGAAATTGGAGCTGATATTCATCATTGCAGCCAGACATTTCCAGGTAGCACAAGACAGAAATTTTCTACTACAAAAAGTGTTTGCACTTGTCTGGTCAGAAATAAGAGCAGATTATCAAGGAGGAATAAATTGCAACAGAAAGATGACCTGGTCCTTAAACCCTTAACAAACCTGAGGCATTCCCTACAGTTTAATACTGGCAGCATCAATTCATTTCTGTGTGTGTGGGTACAATGCTTCTTTCTTTTCTATATTTTTTACCCTTCTTACTGTCTTACTAGAAAAACCTGAGGGTCTCCTCAGATTGTGCAGGACACACCCTTCATGTGCAAATCCATCTTTCCCAAACACAACCATTCATTCACTTATTACATAAGATAATTCTAAGTCAGTGGGACAGGATCTGAAGGTGTATTGAGGAAAACCATTTAATGCACCACAGAGATGGAGTCTGGTTGACCCATGGAAGAGTTGCTTATGAAGGAACCAAGGGAAGGATATGCACTTTTCTGTCTCTGACATCCAGAGTGAGTGTGATACCTGACACAGGAATTTCCTGCAGTCACTTGGTTACCCAGATTACAAAAAGACCAGCATGAAAACTGACAACTTTCAAGGAAGACTGAATGAAGTCCTACTGTTTTCCAGTAGATTCCCTGACTCAAGAAATCCTTGTAATGAAAGGCCATTCTCTTAGTTGTCTGAGTTTATTACTGGTAAGGTTTCTTTTTCTTGTTAGCATTAAAGACATCTTCATTGGTGAATTTCACAATCATCTCAACTCATTGTCATCTAATTAAGCCAATTATATAAATAACCAAACTGAGGATGCTGGATACTATTTTTACCTTAGAAGCAAACAGTTTGCTAATATCAGGTCCCAATATTTACTTCATAAGGCATAAAAAACCCACTACATTGTTTTCTAAGAGGATTAACACTAAGATACAAATCTAAAGACTAAACCATCTGATCAGGAGAAGCTATTTTTAAAATGTGATGACAGCAGGCCAAGGATTTAGCTCAGTGGTTTCGCCAGCTGCTGTGCAACTGGAAGGACCTGAGTTCAATCCCCAGTACGCCCCCCAAAAATGTGATGAAAGCTTCTTTGAAATATTGTACCTGTTTCCATCTCCTGCTCAAACTTGCTTTCACTAAGAACATGCACATGCAAAAAATGCTCTCCCTAATGGAATGTAAGCAAAAATTATATTTACAATTGAAATTGAAATTACTTTTTAAATAATACAGACTGGATAAGGTGCTTTGTCAGGTTTCAATCTGTAGCTTAATGCACTTGGTTATTGCATGTGCTGATTATTTTAGTTAGAGACATTTTTACTCATCATGAACAGTGTTATTTGGACCTGCCCTAGACCCACAGTTCCAGACCACTCTCACATTGCAGAAGAGAAGCTATCCTATTAATAAGTTTCCACAAAGCTTTCTGCATATCCCTGTTCCTCAGGCTGTAGATGAAGGGATTCATCATTTGAGGGACCACAGAATACATCACTGAAGCCACTGCAACATTTTTGGATGAGTTAGTTATGAAAGAACTAATGTACACTCCCAAACCCGTCCCATAGAATAAGGTGACAACTAAGAGATGAGAGCCACAGGTAGAAAACGCTTTATATTTTCTTTCTGATGATGGCATTCTCAAGATAGATGACACAACGTGAATATAAGAAAGCATGATTCCAAATGCAGGTACACCACCCAAGATGCAAGCTGCAACGTATAGTACTATGTTATCAACTAAAGTGTCAGAACAAGTGAGCCTGATTATCTGGGCAAGTTCACAGAAGAAGTGGGGGATGCTCAGCTCTGTGCAGAAGGAAAGCCTTAGGATCATCAGACTGTGGAGCAGTGCGTCCATGATGCTAATGACCAAGGGGAAAAGACTCAGTGAAAGACACATACGGGTGCTCATGATGACTATGTACCTAAGGGGATGGCAGATGGCCACATAGCGGTCATAGGCCATCACTGCCAGGAGACAACTTTCAAAATTACCAAAAAACAAGACTAAACAGATCTGAGCAAGGCAGCTTCTGTAAAAGATGCTCTGATCCTGTGTTTGAATGCTCACCAGCATGTGTGGGATGGTGGTTGTACTTAAACACATGTCATTAATGGACAGAATGGAGAGGAAGATGTACATGGGAGTGTGGAGGTGAGAGTCAGATCTGACGGCCAGGATGATGAGCAGGTTTCCCAGGATGGTTGCCAGGTACATGGACAGGAATAGGATGAAAATGAGGGGCTGCAGCTCTGGATCATCTGTCAGTCCCAAGAGAAGGAATTCTGAGATGGCTGTTTGGTTTCTAGGTTCCATGAGTGGGTGATATGATCTAAAAGAAACTGAAAATATGAGAAAATATACAGGCCAACAGAGACAGTATAACAGGTTAATGTGTTAAAATCCCATCTCATAGATACCTTGATCTTTGGAATTTTATTTCCACAATTGTGAGAAAATTTTCTGCCATTTAGTCTCCCTTTCTGAGAGATTGCTTTTGACCGGTATAAGTAATACACTCACAAAACTCTCACTGCATCACATGAACAAGAAAAAAAGTGAATGGAAAATTATTTTTTAAAAGCTACTGATTTTGAGAAGAGGCAGATTTATCTCTGGACCAGAAGGACTCATCCTTCATAAGAATGAGTCCTGCACAATGTAAGCCTGCTGAGTATCAGCCCAAACATGTGGGATTTGATTTTTAAAAATACAAGGCTTGTGGATTTAGCTTAGTGGTTTTGCCTCTTGCTGCATAAGTGCAAGGACCCGAGTTCAATACCTGGCACCAAAAAAAAAATACAGTCAATATTTTACACTTTACAGTAAACAGTACATTGCTGGTTATCACCCTTAAAAGACTCCCCCTCAGTTCAAACATATTTTTATTCTTCTCATTTACTGAATCAGTTCAGAAAGTCTTGTTTCAGGAGTGTATTTAGTTTCACTGTCATTGCTGCCTTAATATTTTGCACTGATTCAAACTTTTATCTTTCTTGGTCGTTTTGATTTTGGAAAGAGCCAGAGGCTGAACAGTGCCAGATCTGGTGGATAAGGGAATATGGACACACTGCAATCTTTTTATAGAGCCCTACCTTTCCATTGGATGGCACTTGGTTGTAATATTCATTGGATTTTTTATGACACCTCATAAAAACACTCACAAAAGTGGGCTTCCAGAATTGCTTCAGGAAATGGCAAGAACAATGGGAAAACACCACATTTTCTTTATCCATTCATCCATTGATGGACATATAGGCCACTTCCAAGATTTAGCTATTATGAATTACACTGCTATAATCACAGATAAGCATGTATCACTGTAACATGACGTCTTTAACACTTTGGGGAAGATATCTAGAAGGAGAATCACTGAGTTGAATGGAATTTCTCTTGTAAGTTTTTTGAGGAATCTCCCTAGTGGTTGTACTAGTTTACATTCCCAACAACAATGTAGAAGATTTCCTTTTCCCCTCACAGCCTCATCATAGTATTTGATTTTTTGTGATGAACCTTGAGACCATAATGTTAAGTGAAATGATTCAGGCTCACAAGCTCAAATATGATATGCTTTCTCTTATAGGAGGAACCCAAAGCATAAATAAATTGAAGGGCAAAATAAAACACAGGTAATAGGAAACATTCAGATAGATCTTTTGTAAATGGGAAGGTGAGTAAGAGATAGACAGAGGGGGATTGGTGAGGAGGGGCATATAACAATTAAAATGAGTTATGAACACGTACCAACCCCACACAATGACTGTAAACACTGTGTACTATCAACCTGAACTAACAAAACAAAAAAATTGAAAAACATTGAGAAGGTTAAAATACAATAATTGTGTTTAAAGCAATGGAGAGTAATTTGAGGGATATTAATGGCAATGTGTCTTTCCCTGTAATGAAGTTTTAAAATTTAAATCTATACTATATATCCGGATCATATCTCATATATGTCATTGTGTGAAGGTTGGGAGACACAGGGAGGGCTTTCTCCTCATTACCTTATGCATGTCCTCTTTTCTTCCTCCCTCAGGATGAAATTACACAAATTGTCAGTAATCATTTCCAAAGTTTTAAATAAGGGAATTCATGTTCCCTATTTAACTTCAAGACAAATGGCATTGAAAATTGTACCTGAATACTGAAGATGGATAGTGTGTCCTCAAGAAAAGCAGGCAGACTAAACATGTGAGCTAGATACTGGACAGGAAGTGTCATCTATGGGAGGAGGCTCAGAAGTTGCTTCCTCACCAGAGCAGAGATGTATTGTGATGTTTTCACTTGCTGACCTATGCAGACTTTATACCCCATTGGGAGCTCAATATCCAAAGGTCCTCATTAAATTATTTTCTGCTACCATTCTAATCCCAGAAGGACATACACTGAAAAAGCCAAGGCTGTGTAAGTGAAGCATTCAGGAAAGGTGATTCTCTGAACCTTGAGCCCCAGTGAGGCCTGTTGTTTGCCTCCATTGTTTCTGCTTATCTCCACTCAGAGATTGTGTTTTGACTGAACAAAACATAAAACACTTCTCTAATAGGGTGCAGCATTACTTTTTAATTGCAAATTGATTCTCCATTTCATGATACTGGGAAGCCTAGTTCTGATATCAAGATGCAAAAAATATAGCCTAAATATGTTCCTATGAAGGATCTAATTGCAAATAGCTAAATTTTAGTAAAATGCAGCATTCAGAGATGTCTTTCCTTATATAACATTGATGTTAAGTGAACCTTAATTTTTGTTCTTTAGAACTAGCACAGAAAATTCTAATTTCTTTTTGTGACTTTTGTTTGTGGTCAAAAATTCTGCTTCACATTCTATAAGCATCTTCTTAAATTTTGTTGCAAGAGATGTCTTTACCTGAGTTTAATTTCTGTTTCCTTACTCTATAATGAGATGTAAATTCAACTACCACACACCAGAAGCTAACAGTGTGCAGATGTGGCCATGGTTCAGCACACATGGGCAGATTTCACATACCAGTTCATGGGTGGAGAACTCGCACCATGTTAGTGTTCCTTGTAACATCTTTTCTATTTCAGAAGTTCAGAGTTTGCACATATTTATCAATTTAATTTATAGCATATTCTGTGTTTCTACATGATTTTGTAATTTACAAGATGTATTACTGAAAGTTTTTGACAAGATGGCCTTGTTCTGTCTTTCTTCACATTCTTAATCCAATTCAGTTTAAAAATTAAAAAACAGAGGAAAGTACCCCCCAAAACAGAGGGCTTTTAATTATTTCATGTAATATGAAGAAAGAATAAAATTATAAAAAGATAAATTTCCTCATGTAGCAAAGGAAGAATTCAAACATAGAATACTTAAGGAACAGGATCTAAAGTTATGATTTATCTCCACAGCCAAAACAAAAAGTACTTCCTGATTCTAGGTGAGATGGATTCAGTGTCCTAGGTGAGATTAGTTGCTAAGGCAGAAATAGGGATTTTATATTTGAAAAATTTGGGTGAACTCAAGAGTTGGGTATGTTTTAGATCCATGACTGGATTCCAAACACATGAAAGTTTCAGGAAACACTACTAGGAATAATTGAACCCAGTTCATTGTATTTTGTTGGATGGATTTTTACAATTCCGCACATCATGAAATGGTAGAAATCATTAAACTGAATTCCAGAGCAGAGATCTGATCTGTGATGGATAGGAGGAAGTGTGAATCTGACAAATGAGAAATGGGCCCAAATCATTTATATTTAAATGATGTTCTATCCGCATTTATATACATGACACTGTAATATATCTGGTTGGATTGACCTCAGCCAAGTATAAGAGGAAAAGATATTGGTGATTGTGTGCAAAATGTCTTTTGAAGACTTTTGCCTAGAAGGAAAAGAATGAGTGTGTGGCTAGAGCAGAATGAGAGAGCTACACAGATTTTTTTTTTAATTCAGAGAAATTAACATACATTTAAATTAGGGATGTCAGACTGCACAGTTGATCTTATGTCATCACTTGATGTGACTCCCAGAAATACCAGATTGAGAATACTGATGGTTAAACAAAATTCCATCACTTGACTCCTGAATAGCACACGTGAATGAAGACACACAGATGTACTTTAGCTTTCAAGGTCTCCAGGTGTCTGATGAAGTGGTCATATTTAGCAATTTATAGCATAAAAACTCTCACACTTTAGGTGTCATCACTACTGTTTGGATGAGGTATCTATTTAATAAGTACTTGAAGATTATATTAGTGTCCCTTAAAGTGATATGTTCCACTTATTTTTCCAAATCAGAGAAAAGAGGAAATATAAATGAGGAATAGAAAGCACACAAAAATATCAGTATTTGTCATTGCATTCTAAAATATATCTTAGGGAAAATACATAATCTTCTAGCACAAATGCCTGGGCAACTTGTGGAGATCTGTGAGCTGAGAGTTAAGAAAGATTTCATGAAGAATGATGAGTAGAAAAGGGGAAGTCAAGTCAGAGATGGAAAGGAGGTTTTGGGAAATGTGGAAATGGGTATGTGAGGGGGGAGTAGAGGAATCAGAATGACCAAGATGTGATACATATGTGTACCAATCCCAAAGCTGAATGTATTTTGTATTTATCACAAACATATATGAATAAAAAAGTAAATGTGAAGGTAGCAAAGCATACTATAGAAGCATGATTAAATTAGTATCTGTTAGGCATCTACCAGGAGCTGGATCCTGGGCTATGGACCTAGAAAGGTGAAGTGCTTATAGGAAAATATTATAGAGGAAGGATGGAGAGACAAGTTTACTAAGAATATAAAATAAAATCAACTTCATGAGCAAAGTGATCTGTAAAAGAAAAACTCTCATTGATCAAAGTAAGCCTGGATACCTCAATACCTAGCTATTGTGTGGGTACAAGTAAAGTCATTACAAACACTAGCTAAATAGGCAACACTCGATGGTGTCTTTTCTTAGACATTGTTGATGCTAACTGAATCTTAATGTTTGTTCTTTTAAATTAATTCAGAGTATTCTAATCTGCTTTTTATGATCATTGCTAGTGATCAAATGTATAGACAGGACCTGCTTAGAATTTTGATAAACATTTTCTTAAAATTTGTCACAATAGTTTTCTTTGCATAAGGAGACTGAGTTTATAATTTAATTTTTAATTCAACTTCAAAAAATCCAGGTCACTGTGTTTAAAAGGTTCATTCATATGCTCAGCACATGTGGGAAGATGGTTTATAGGTGGAATAGCTCTGCATCTTACTGCTCTTTTTTACATCTTCTATATTTAAGGAGTTCAAAGTTTTGCATACTTTATTAAGATTAATTTACATAACATTCTGTTAAACT